AGCAATAAATTTTTGAAAGGTAAAATATTACCAGTTAGCAGCAGATACCAGTGTGCCCTCTTTTGTCTCATATTAATGCTCCTCATCACAAATCTTCTCTAGACATCCATCTCCATTTTAACGAACCTTTCAAAAATCCTTAATGGTGTTCATTCCAAAACTTGCCTAACTCAAAGAAAGGCAATTGCTTTAAAACAAAAAGGCCGAAAGAACTAAGAAAAAAAGAAAACCTGCCTTTGAACTCGGAAAATAAAAGCACTGTTTATAATAGAGGCCAAGGGTTAGTTCAACAGAATAAGCAGCTGATCTTATATGCTCAGCAATCTAAATACAACACAGCTAGATGCCATCCGAGTAAATGCTGATGCACAGGGCTCCTTAATAAAGACTGTAACATAACTTCAGAACTAATTGATGCCAATCTAAGGTATTCTGTTGCACTAATACCACCACATGAGTATACAGAACACTAGATTTGATTTTGTGTGGAACAGAGCAAATACTGACATTGGACTTTCAGGTATTATGCTACACTCAAATAACATGCACAAACTCAAATAACAAAACTGGAGTGTGGAAGTACTTTGGAATCACTTCTGGGCTCCCAACAGAAGACCTAAAGAACTAGGTCCACATGCACACTTCAAAAAATGCCTGTAATGTTTGTATTTGATATGGCTCGAGGCCTCCACACATTTTTGCAAAATACCAATTTTATTTCCTATTAGTGCTTTACAATGTGGTTTAAAAATGTACATATCTGACTCCTTTTATTTCTTCCATATATACATATACTTTTTTCATGGAAGCCAAATTAAAATGAAAAAATACTATGCAATCATTTTCACTCCATCTTACCAATAAGATTACTTAGCTGATTTACTGATGTTAATCCTTTTATATCTAGAATCCAAGAGTCCTGGCTTGTTTTCAAGTTATTATAAGCAAATCTTATACCAAAATCGTCTTTAGGTAGACCTGTTTCATTTCCAAAGAATATTGGCAAGTTATCTTATATTCAAATGGTACTGCTTAAAACCATGTAGACATGGTCTTTAAAGGTGAGACGTTCTTGGAGAATACCAACTTTCTGGAATTTGAGTCCTGAAGAAAAATGGACTGTCCCATTTTATTGTTTCCAAGTGGTTTTCTTTCCACTATAATGAGTTCACATTATTGGCTCTAATCTGGTTGTTAGGAGACTATCCAATACCCCCATTCTTCATCCAAAAAAGAGAAAGTAGAATATGGATATGAAATGGGAAAACACGGTTTTATTTCTAGCAAAGTTGGTATAAAAAAGATATATTGCCAAATTCTAAAACAGAGATTCTAGTGCAGTACTTAATTTCCTAAAGTCAGTTGATATCGTCTGGAGACCTAAGTTTCCTGATTACCTGAATGCCATTTTAGCTACAAAGTATCACTCACTGGTTGGTTTGTTTTCCAAGGGGCAATAACTATTCTGTGCTAACCTCTATTAAAACCTTCACGATCAGTCTGTCCATTCTATTGGAAGCCCAGATAGTTACTGCAAGAATTGGGCCAAGTTCCTTAATAACATAGTCTAACTTGTCAAAACCAGATACAAAGGGTCAACAGTTCACTGTATGATCCCTTGGGATTGAAGTTAGCAAATCAATTCCTATCCAGACAAAGAAGATACTGTAAGATAGAAAGGGCCTACTCAAATTACATATTTTTGAAATTGAATTACTGTAAAATCAGCCTGGAGAAGTATAGAGAAGCATCAGTGAAAAGATGAAAGGGTAGACAAGTACACAGAATGCAGTGAGACCAGAGAGGCTTGGTGTGTGGGGGTGGGTGTGAAAATTCACAAGTGGATGCTATAAACAGAATTAAACAATGGATATGGGACTGTATGCTTGACAATGTGACAGGAGAGAAAGAGAAACGTTAAAGAACCATATGGTCCATTGGATTCTTACACTGCCTTTGAAAGGACATATCTAGTCTACCTAAAAATAACTTCAGGATGATGCTCAAATGCTGTTTTAGCAAGGGATCCATTTTATTTACTTGTTACTCCCATGGTCCCTACTGCGGTACCCACAATATGCCCACCCCTAGATGCCTCTGAAGCAACTTCTAGAAACTTGGAACTCAGCTGACTGATTGTAAAACTACCATGGTATTAAATACATAGTTTCCAGAGACAATAGATTCTAATAGAAGTAGAAAAGAAGAACCTCAAAAGGCAGTTGTCAATTTACATGTGTCTCAGATCTCATGAATGTCAAAGTGCACACTTTGTCCTCAGCTGCTGTCCTCTGCTTGGATGGCTGACACACACATGCACATGTGCACACACACACACACACACACACACACACACCAGGCTCTACAGGCCAGTCTCAGAATGTGGTCCCCAGTGGCTATTACAGCACCATGGCTTCAGTTCTCTACTCAGAACCACTGAGGAGAAGCCCAAGTTCCTCCCAGAGCCCACGAGGCGATGCGGTGTGCTGCCCAGACCTCCTTCAGAATGACGCATCACCACTGCTGGCTGTGAGTGCTGCTGGCACCCAGCCCACAGCTGTCGCCATCCGCAGGAATGGCCTCAGCTGAATGGTCACCTCTTCCAAGGCCATGGGCCTTCCCAGGACAGCCTAGCCCAAGTGCTGACCACAGGTGGTCACGCAGGCCCAGAGGCTTCCTCCAGCCAGGACCACCGCAAAGGCCGCTCAAGCTCCATTCAGGGCAAGGAGGCGGAGGCTGGGTGGTGTGGCGGCTAGATCTCAGCCTCTGGCTGTCCCCTTATACTCTTTTATGCAGATCTCCACCCCCATGGCACTGCCAGCACATCACAGCCCTTCCCAGGGCCTGTTTCCAGGAGGCGATCCCACCACACCTCCACCTATGAGCTGCCCCCTCACAGCAATCTTACTTCAGAGCTCACCCACCTCCCTGCTTACCCCAGCAAACACACAGCCTATGAGTCTACAGGACCCTCCCGCTTGCCTGGAGCACCCTTCCCTCCCCTCCCTCCCTCCTACCTTCCCTCCCTCCTTCCTTCCCTGCCTCCTTTCCTCCCTCCTTCCCTCCTGTCTTCCCTCCTTCCTGCCTCCTTCCTCCTCTCCTTCCCTCCCTCCTTCCTGCCTCCTTCCCCCCCCCTCCTTCCCTCTGCCCCAATGTCACATCTTGTGTGAGCCTTCCCTGACACACCGGGTGGGAAATGAAAGAATTCTTTCAAGGAGAAACAATTCTGAGTTTTTTCAAACACAAGTTATATATCTTTCTGAGTGTCCATGTTACCCCAGCACGCCATGTGCAGTGGGCGGCCAGGGCCTCTCAGCCTTGTTCCTGATCAACATGGTTGGGGACAATGACATTACTGTCCTTCTCAGAAGAGGTGCAGGGATTCAGTAATGGTGGAAGTAACAGACTGTGGAGATTACAAAACTCCATGGAAGTCTAAGGAATGATTGTGAGGTAGCCCTAAGAAATCGCTCACCCCAAAACTTGCACTGCAGTGTATCCGCATCCTGGCCAACAGCTCAGGGTCCCAGGAAATCATCTCAGCTGTGCGCAATGCTGAGTGACATCAGCAAAGAAGGATGAACCCCCAAGGGCATAGTGACAACCCAGCTGGGGACCCCACGGAGGAAGTGCCGCCCGACCCAACCCATTTGCACTGTTTCCCATTACTTCAGACTTCATTCTCATCTCCAAGGTCTATATGTTCATCAGATGAGCTTTAATGAGCTTTACACTTTCAAACCAGCCATATGTCTGCTTATTGCGATTAAAAGCCTAAATTGCTCAATATATCTTCAACCCAAAGTTTTTATGTTTATTTCTGATTCTGTGAAACAAACATACTTTACTTGCCTTAAAAATAAAACAAGAATGGTGGGGATGTAACTCAGTGGCAAAGCTCTTGCCTAGCAAGTACAAGTAGGGTTTGATCCCTAGTACCAAAAAAGAAAAGAAGGAAGGAAGGAAGGAAAGAAAGAAAGAAAGAAGGAAGGAAGAAGGGAAGGACTCCTTCAGAATCTCCAATGCTTTTACCTTGTCTCCATGTATTTTTTATTTGATAGAAGGAAATGCCATGCCCACAACCTCATATTCCACCCTAAGCTGATCTGTGAATCAACTAAGGTTATGCCAGAGACCTCTCCAACCAAGCAGAGGTGACCCCACCTCTCACAGGCACCAATGAAAACCACAAAGGTCTAACACTCACCATTATATTACATATCTGCCTTTTCAGATATGTTTGTGGATCCCACTACAGCCAATGTATTTATTTCTAAAGAGAGAATGATATAAGCTAAGGTCTAAAAGAATTAACAGGCCAGGCATCAGTGGCTCACACCTGTAATCCTAGTTACTCAGGAGGCTGAGATCTGAGGACCACAGTTCAAAGTCAGCCAGGCAGAAAAAGTCCATGAGACTTTTATCTCCAATAAACCACTCAGAAAACCAGAAGTGGGACTGTGGTTTAAGTGGTAGAGTGCTAGCCTTGAGCTGAAGAGCTGAGGGACAGCGCCCAGGCCCAGAGTTCAAAACACCCCCCCCGCCACCCTACCCCCAAAAAAGAACTAACAACAAAATCCATTTAAGAGATAGCATTATCAAAGTATAATTTTGCAATTATACATTAAAAAAATAAGTGCAACATTTATTTAACGTAACAATAAACAGTGCTGTAGGAGGATGAGGAGCACAAGGACCACATAGTATGACTTACAGCAGGCTCCTGTTACTATGTAAGTGGCCCTAAGTGCCAATGGAGAGAAATAGGGAGTACATTACTACAATCCTACAGGCACACCTCTTCTATATGGGGAAATCTTTGTCTAGGATAAGGCAAATTTAGAGAACAATATTATATTGGTGTAGTGGGGAAAGAGAATGTGTGTGTTTGGGTACATAATTATTTACTTTTAGGAAACTCAAGGTCCTTCAATTCACGGTTTTCTTTAAAATACCAATCTACTAGAAACTACCTTGGTGTTTTCATGTCTTTGAGGATTTTAAGCACTCCTTCGATTTTTCTTCATAGCTTTGTACAATTTAATATTCAGACTAGGGAAACTGGAAATCTCCTCCAAATCAAACAGCTCCTGAAATCTATCAACAAATTTGTTTTCTTTCTCCAGCCTGAATTTCATGGCCCAAAGGATAATGGTAGTTTCTCTGCACAGATGGTCAAAGGTAACAAGGAGTTCTTCCAGGAAAGGATGAGCATAGACAACGTCAGCAGCCAGAATATAGTCAAAATTATGAGAAGACCGGGGAAAGTTCTCGTGTAAAGCTACACCCCAGGAGAGCTCTTTCACCTGAGGTAGGTGCTTGCATTTCAGTTTGGTATTTCGAGAAATATTATACTGCAGGTTCCCAAGTAATTCAGGCAAGTCTGTGGCGGTCACACGAGCACCTGGGAAACAAAGGTTGGGAGAAAAGTAACCCTCTTGGAACTAAGTTAAACAATTATGTTTCAGATGCACTCTGCACTTCACACAAAAGAAAGGACAGTCAGTACCTTCAGAAAAGCCATTTCTTTCATAATGGATGCTAAGGCAGAAAGAAAGAAAGAAAGAAAGAAAGAAAGAAAGAAAGAAAGAAAGAAAGAAAGAAAGAAAGAAAGAAAGAAAGAAAGAAAGAAAGAAAGAA